GTACAAAATCACAAATATCCCGCAATGATGACTGCAAAATAACAGTAAAAAATTAATGTTATGATTGAAAAATTATCAGGTTAAGCACACATAATATGTCATAAGAATTACCCATTTGTCTACTGAGGTAGCGTACTGTCGATGTACACCTTCAATTCCTTGGAGCCAGGTCTGTCGTAATCAGGGTCCTTTTTCGAAATTCCCAAAGCATTCATAAGTGCTGGCAAGATTTTCACATATGGTTCAATGCCTTCTAGAACCTTCCAGTCACGATATGTTTTACCTGCTGAATTGTAGCACACCTAGCATCCAGTGGGCCTTTTGTGGGCAACATTGACATGAACACATGGTCAACATCAGCCCAAAATGTGCTTAAAGGTAGGCTGTGACTAGTTATGACATTAACAAGGCTCAATTCCGACATCAGAACCTCAGGATCCTTCATAAAAGTAGGGTATATGTCTTTTATTTTATGTTGAAACCAAGAGTTTGTTGTTGTGGCTCTAAAATGTAAATTCTTGCCATGTTTTGCAAGCTGGCGAATGTCGTAGAAGCACGTATCCATGTACAGTAATAAAAGGAAAAAATGACATTAAAGAAAAGGAAAGTCTATGAAAATGTGATCAACATGTGAATATGTGACCAATATATGGAAGTGTGACCAACAATGACATGTAAGTCAAGAAGTTAAAATATGTGGCCACTCTGTGGATATGTGAGAGTATAATGTGGTTTTATTGTACCGTGCTACTCAAAGACGATTCTGTGTGTATAAGATTGTAGAACCATGACTTGTGACCAATTGGGAATGAACCAATGACGAATGCAGGTTTGATTTTGTCGCCCTCGTCGTTAAATTTTTTCCTGCAAACATGAAATTGAATATTGAGTGTTGCGCTACCATGAATTGTTAAGTTACATTCTCAGATATAAACAAATTATACGTACTTGTTTTTGGGTTTTAAACCCCTCTGGAACCAACTCATGAACGTAGATCTGTCAACTTCTTCAACGTCGCCTTTGAAATACTCAAAAACTATGACATGATTATCATGTTTGAATAATTTACCTTCTCCAACAACGAACGAAGACTGCAGTATCCTTGCAAGCCTCAAAACCCGTTTGACTGGTAATTCAGAACGACCATCAGGAGACGTGAATCTCTGTATATTGTTGTAAAAGCTTGTTATGTTTCATATCAGACATAGAAACTACATGTGAATAAGTTTTGAATGATCTGTGACTTGTTAAAGCTTTCTATTATTGGCATGCAGTTGATTTGTGACAAGTACAGAATGAATAATGGCTTTGTGAATACCTCTACCTGAACACTTTTGGTTGCCGTCAACACGTCAGATATAATGGAATCTACCTGTTTCTGAACGTTTTCAGAATGTATGTCATCAAGTTGCATATATCCGATCCCCAAATCGAACGATGGTGGTTGAAGACTATAGGGAGTACCAATGTCTTCACTTGGGTCTATCTTACCTTTCCCTTTCCTGTCAACATTTGGTTGTACTGTTTGCACCTGTATCTTGGAGAAGAAGAATCCTTGGCATGTCAATGTGACCATAGTGTGTATAATGAAATGTGTAAATATCATGTAAGTACCTCGTCAGTCTTATCAGAGCCTCTAGTAACATGAGTTCCCCTGTCTCCAACTCCGTGAATTTCTATGCCTCGATCTTTTGCTTTTTCACTAAACCGTCTCATGATCTCTTCCATTGAAGAAGATATCATTGCTGACACAGTTTCAGACAGAAACTGCATGTTAGTTCGAATCTCCATCAAGTCAGTTTTTAAGACACCTTGCATTTGGATAATGGAGTTCATTTTTGTAGAGTGCACATCATTGAAGCATGACATCTGTAACTTGATGTCAGCGAGTTCCCTATTCAACAATTTATTGTCCAACCGCAGTTTGCATATTTGCATCCTCAGATCATCATATGCCTGACATGACACCATAACAACACAAGTGTAACCAGTTGTATGAAAAAAAAAGGGGTTATATGTAACTTAGGAAAATATGTTCTGTGATGAAAATGAAGTGGATATGTGACCTATATAACGGTGATCTGTGACCAATGATTTCAAAAAGGTAATATGTGACCTAAGACATTGATCTGTGTTCGCTGATTTCAAAAAAATAATTACATCCACTTACATTAACCCATTGCGGCATGTGAGGGTGTGGTTCATCTGGAGAATTAGTGGCAGCTGACAGTACTTCATCAATTGGAGATTTTTCATGGGGGGTATGTCTTGACGTCGTGGTGGAGGATCAACGAAATCATCATCGTCCTTCGACACATTAGGTTGTCCCATACTGCTATCCGTTAAGAGGATCACTGACTTTCCACTAGCACTAGCATTGCCGGCTGATTTCTTTGTCCTCTTTTTCCTGCGGCTCTCACTTAATAATTTCGGTTGAATCGGCTTCTGGTACTGGACATTATTCATATATGGCATGGCCATTTCTGTTTCCGATGGTTCCAGGTCACAAATCACAATCTGCAAAAGTGTATATTAGTAAAAGTGTAATCATAACAGTTCAATATACTGGTAACAAGGCTTACTGATGTATTACATCAACATTTGCGAAGCAGTCAGCTCCTTCCAACTTAGCAGCAAAAGGTTGTTCATCTGCCATCCAACTCATGATTCGGGGATGTGTCTTTGATGTTCGTGTGACAATAATTCCATCTGGACTTGGAAAAGTCTCATAAATCCATACTTGAAAGGCTACCAACATACCTCGTAGCCTGTAATGTGGAGTTCTCCTACTCAACCCATCTTTCAGTGAACCCAAGGTAATGTCAAATAATAATTTACCCCATGGGAATCTGTTCATTGCATCGAAGTCCTCAGCTAGGGCAAACAAGTAGTTGTCAACAACTTTCTTGTAATCTCTAGGAAAGAGATAGGCAGTGAGAAAATACAAAGCACCAATCCTAGCAACTCATCATCCGGTAGAGCTTCGACAAGATCCAAGTCCGGCATTTGACACGCAGAGATGAATGTGGATTTGATGTATTCATGTGTTACATTATCTACTTGAGAAAAGTATTTTCCCTTCAGTTTTGATGTTCTACTGTCATACATTTTTGTATCACACTGTCCATGACATTTCAGGCCTGTGACTAAACTAAACTCGAAGATGGAGAACCTCACATACCTTCCAGCCACATAAAACCACATTTCTTCGTTGTTCGGCTGACGAACCTGTCTCAGAAGGAAGAAGTGAATCAGTTGTGGTTGTATAGTGATCTCGTCGCACTCTAGAAAATGAGCAAAACAGGTTCCCATCAATATACGTTTCTGTTATCGGCTTAAGCTCGTCTGAATGGTATTCAAGACACCTTTACGAACTGAGGTTGTAATTTTCCCAGGAAACCACCTGTCTTTTGGTATTATGAATTCCCAGGCCTGTATTGAAATTGCAAACAATGTTAAACACTTGTACTGAAAGAAATCACACACAGATGATATGTTACAACACAAAGATATTCAATTAATAACATGCTCTGCCTAACAGGTCACATATGCATACACATGTCCACTCGGGTCAGTAAGTTGAATAGGGTCATAGATCTTCATTGTTAGAACAATCAAGTCACGTATTCAGTCAGCTCAGGTCACAGATCTATTCTTTGTTAGTACTTCCAATGCACATACATTTGAGTCAGGTCACATGTCACATTGTTAGTACCTTTGACTCCACCCAATGTATAAGACATCAAAATTAAAAGTACAAATTGAATCACATACGCATGCCGCATTGTCACATCACAGATTAGTTTTCAATAAAATGAACAAGGTCACATATTAGATCAATTCATCGTTAGCACCTCCGAGTCACATACAATGAGCTTAGGTCACAGATCATCTACCATGGTCAGTAAGTTCAATAGGGTCACAAATCTTCATTGTTAGAACAGTCAAGTCACATATTCGGTCAGCCCAGGTCACATATCTATTCTTTGTTAGTACTTCAAATGCACATACATTCGAGTCAGGTCACAGGTCACATTGTTAGTACCTTTGACTCCACCCAACATATAAGACATCAAAATTAAAAGCACAAATTCAATCCCATACACATGCCGCATTGTCACATCACAGATTAGTTTTCAATAAAATGAATAAGGTCACAGATTAGATCAATTCATCGTTAGCACCTTCGAGTCACATACAATGAGCTTAGGTCACAAATCATCTACCATGGTCACATACACTGAGTTCGGGTCATGAAGGAATTTCGATACACATAATCTTTACACCCAAAACCCTAGGTCATGTCAAATACCAAAATTACTTCAACCGACTACATTTCACAGAATGTCCAAATATCAAGTATGTTTTTTCATTGTTCAATAAAAAAAATCAAAAAAAATTGAGGAAATAACCTTGTTCGATCGGCCTTCTCGCTCGGTTACAGACGCCGAATGTGTTGGGGATTCCATTGCGCTGTCCTGTGACCTCCTTTTGCTTCTTCTTCTTGTTGTGTCTTTGAGATTAATAACCCCTTCTGTGACCTTAGATTTCTCCATTAGATTGCGTTTTTCCATTATAGCGAAAGGGATGTATTGCACACGGTGATTCTTGCACAAATTGAATTCGACAATGGTGAGATTGTAGGGTAACTAATTGGCGAAATCTGGACTCTGGATGGATAAGTTCGAACAAGCGAGTGTTTGAGATGCCGGAAAATCATGGGAGAACAAAGAGAGGGTTTGGAGATTACGTGAAATCATGGGGGGCAGAGAGAGAGAGAGGATGATTGATATGGTAGTTAAGAAAATTGTAATTTGAATTACGATAATTAAGGAAACGCATCATCAGTTAATATACGCATCTACTAATTATTAAATGATAAAAATAAATATTTCACATTTAATAATTACATAAAAATTCTGACATGTGCATAAAAAAGTTTTCCACATGATGTTTGCATCCCAATCTTTATACACCTGGGACGGTGTAATTTCCACTTTTGAAAATGAACAAACGCAGCCCTAAGTTCCCGCATCAATTTGGAATCTGTAAAAAGATTCCCATTCACCCGTTAATTAACGAAAAGCTTAAAGGTCACTCGGCAACAGTTCCTCCCCATCTTCACCGGGAAAGTAAGATCCCCTCCAACTGCGCCGCGAAAACTTCCCCCACCACCACCAATGGCGGCCTTGATCCGCGCTCTCAGATCCTCCTCCTCTTCTTCCTATTATACTAATTATTTTATTCGAAGGTCTCTATCCACGGCCGCGTCAACGACCGCCCCACCCCTAAAATCCGAACCCTTCACTCCCTTCATGGATACCAAGGGCAAACATGTTCAGTGGGTTTTCCTGGGATGCCCTGGTGTCGGAAAGGGTACCTTCGCCAGCCGTCTCTCCACCCTCCTCGGTGTTCCCCACATCGCCACTGGAGATCTCGTCCGGGAAGAGCTCTCTGCCTCTGGCCCACTTTCCAAACAGGTATGACGCCCCTTAGGCCTTAACCCGTGTGCTCGTGTGTGCCTATATATGGTGTAAATATCTACATTGCCAGCACATGTTAAAGATAACTTCTGGGATGCCGTTGCAATGGGGAATTGAGATATTTCTTTGTTTGTTGTTAGGTCAGGAGTTTGTCTTATAACTTACAATTGAAGTTATGGTCTTTTTCTATATATATATATACGCGTGGTTTTCAGGTTTGAACTGATTTCCATATTTTTATGATCTGTCCGTATTAGAAATTGAAAGTTGAAACCTGAAGAGTGTTTCATGGAAAATTTAGTGCTGTAATGTAATAATTGGCAATGTCTTATTTATAACAGAAGGGTCCTTCTGAACACCACAAGGGCTGTCCCAGGTTGTATGCCTTCTTAGACAAGCCTCTTTCTTGCGTACTTGTACATTTTTGCAATTTTCTTGATTCTGTGTAGTAATTTTTCCCAATGGTTATTACATTGACAAACATGTACTGATTATGATGCATTTTGGGCCCATCTTTTATATATTTAAACTTGGTGTTGTATGTTGTTGATTCATCTTCTTGTTTCTCTTTTGCAGCTTACAGAGATCGTGAACCAAGGGGAATTGGTATCTGATGAGATAATTATAAGCTTATTGTCAAAGAGGCTTGAGACAGGAGAAGCTAAAGGTGAATCAGGATTTATACTAGATGGATTTCCCCGAACTGTCAGGCAAGCAGTAAGTAATTTCTTCGTGTATATTAGCTTTTCTCAGACTCACTATTTTAATGTTCCTCAAAATATGTCGTGTCAGATATGATATACTAGACATTAAGCTTTCTATAACAAGGTATCGTTTTCAGAAGAGAATTGCTGCTGATTTTGAGAACAGAATTTAGAGTCGCGTTAATGATTTACTTTCAAATCCTCCATATCTCGGGCTTGGTTGGGCTCCTTTTTTTATTTTAGAAGGAACTTCTTAATACATTGTGTATGATCTGGTTCCCAGAGTTGAGAAAAGAGAAGAAAAGATAGAAAAAGATGTCAATGATTTATGTTGTTTTGATTTCTTGTCAGTAACAATTAATGACTTAGCTCACGGTTGTTGGACCATGATCTTGTTTCCTAGGTCTCCAAGCACTTCATTTATTTAGGTCTTGTTTGATAAAGATTTTTTTGAGAAGTGAATCTTTAAAAAGGGTTTATTTATTTATTTTTATTTTTTATTTTTTTGGTGAATGTGTAGTTAAAAAGTAGGGAAAAGTTATGGGGAAACATGAAAAATGATTTTTATTTTTTTGGAGAATGTGTGGTTGAAAATTAGTTTGGGAAAGAAGTGATCATTAGAAAATCAAAATCAAACAAGGACTTAAAGTTTGTTGTGTATTCCGTGCTTTGAGCAAAGGTACTTCTGGACATCCACTGGTATCATGTTAATATGATCAGGGTTCCATTTTCTTTCATGCTTCGTGTTCATTTTAAAAAAAATTGCTATTAAACAGTTCTCCAAACATGCACTTGTCGATAGAAAATGGGAAGTCATTGCATCTCCCCATTGCATGAAGTTCACATGCAATTCTCAATAGCTTCTTTCTTCTACCTGCAGGAAATATTGGATGATGTAACAGACATTGACCTGGTGGTAAATCTCAAGCTTCCAGAAAGAGTACTGGTCGAGAAATGCCTTGGACGAAGGATCTGCAGCCAATGCGGGAAGAACTTCAATGTAGCAAATATCAATGTCAAGGGTGAAAATGGAAATCCAGATATTAGCATGGATCCACTTCTTCCGCCTCCTCAGTGTGTTGCGAAGCTCATTACTCGTTCTGATGATACTGAAGCTATTGTTAGAGAAAGACTCCGTGTATATTATGAGAAGGTACCTCACCATTCTCCCTCTCTCATGCTTTTCTTTGCTCTTCAAATGGGACTGACAGGGGTGAAGGGGGTATAAAAATAAAAGATACTTCTCTAAGTTATCTTAAATTATATGATCTCGCTGTAGAAAAAGTTGGGTGAAGGAGGATTTGACCTAACCTAGGATAGACAACATACACTAAACTGCATTTTGTGAAGTTTAAAAATCAAACTCATCCTAACGACATTGGGGAAATCTTAATTACATTCTCTCTTCAAGTTGAATTATGTGCCCAAGTTACTTGGTCATCATTTACATCATTCATTTGAAAACTTCAATTATATTTTAATCACTTTTAAGTTTCACCTGCATTTCCTTTTTTGCTGTGGGTTCTATGAATCACATTGATTGAGCAAGTGCTGGTAATCAAGCTACTATTCTCTGGGGAAGCATTTTAACTGCCAGCATCTTGACCTAGCCAATGTAAAGATGCCTTGTTCATGTAATAACTTGTATTGATTTTCCCCCCATTCAATTGGCTGCCTTGGGACTGTTTAGACAAGGTATTTGGCTTCTGGAAACGACCATGTTATGTTAAGAGCTTAAGACACTAGCATAATGATAGAATTGATGTTATGATTCCTTAATTCAATATAGCTAAATTACTGCAGTAATCTTTGTTGCCCCAGTGCTCACATATTCCCATCGAACAGCTGCTTGCTGGCAATAAATTAGTAATTCTTACAAAAATTATTTGTCATAGGGAAAAAGTTGTTTCTAGTGTACTGCAATTTTTTTGGGGTGAACTGATCGTTGAAGCGTGATTAAAAATCAAGAAGTCAAGCATTTAAAAATACGATTGTGTTGGTCTTTGGAAATATCTCTACTTTCTGGTTAAGCTTATGCACTTCCATTCCTTTTGGTGTTCAGAGTCAGCCAGTGGAGGAATTTTACCGTAGTCAAGGGAAGTTGATGGAATTTAATTTGCCTGGTGGTCTCCCGGAGTCATGGCCAAAGTTGCTGGAAGCACTTAACCTTGATGAGTACGAGGATAAGCAGTCCGCTGCAGCGTAGATTTCCATCAATTTCTTTGCGTGGATTCACTGCATGCCAATTTTTTTGCGGAAAACATCGAGCATTTATATATTTGACTTTAGTACTTCAATTCATTTTTCTCTACTGAAGAAAAATAACAAAACCATGGAGTTACACAGAGCGATTGACCCTGGTGCGTATGCTATCAGTACTTTTTCTTTTTGCTAAGAGTATTATTGTAATATTTACCCGTGAGGGTTAAAGAACGAGACTGTTCATTTTTTTTTTATTTAAACAGTGTCACTGGTAAATTCAAGTAAAAGTTAAATAATATGTTCCAAGTTTCCCAAAAGCATTGGATCCAATGCCTAGTGGATGTTTATTTTAAGCTTACCTTCCAAAAGTATGCTAAATTCAGATGTAAAAGGTTGTTCTATTGTGATTTATGCTTCTGCAAGCATGTCCTTCAGACTTGGTAAGGGCAGATTTTCATGTATCCAATGAACTGCAGCAGTAGTCACAACGGTTTGAAGTGCATTCTGTTATCTGCCAAACTGATTTTAGGGAAGTAAAGACCAATTTTCCAAGTGTAGATAGGGATGACTAGTCATTAAGGGCTTGTTTGCCAGGTTTTTAAAAAGTTAAATGTTGTTTTAGAGATTTAGATGCTGTTTGTGGATTTGTTTGGATTTGGATAATTTTTTAGAAGCATTTCTTCATGTTAGAAAAGTTTTCGAGGAAGTTGATACATGTTGACTTCTTAAGAAAGATATTATAAAAAAAAAAAAAAAAAAAAAAAAAAAAAAAAAAAAAAAAAAAGCTGTATTATTATTTCTTCTTCTTTTTTTAAAATTTCGTAAATTATAATGAGATTGGCTTTTGTTGAGAGTTAAAAAATGGTATTTTTTTTTTTCTCTATATAGGGTTTCTCGATTTTTTATTTATTATTATTATTAGAACTTGAAAATGGTAATTATATTGACACCATATTTTTCGTTTGTATCACTTTAGAATTGTTCTAATGGTCCTCTGACTTTGTTTATTGTAGCTATTATGTCCTCGACCCTTTTTTTTTCTTTTTTTTTTTTTAAATCATATTCTTATTATCAAGGTTGCATTAATTAGCACATTTGGTCTTTGATGCAATTTCGTCCAAAAATGTCACTAGGAGGACATAAAAAGATTTATCTGTCTATCGGATTTTTAAACGAGCAAAAAAATAACTAATACAAAAGTTTAATAGCATATTTGCTCCTTCATTTCTAGTCCAAAACAGATTAGTTTAATAATAATAAAGAACAATTTTGGTCTTTTTATTCAATATCCAACTCTTTTTGAAACCAGTAATAGTGTTCCAAGTTTTTAAATTAATGTTCTCGAATTAGTATTATTTCTCCTGGGATGTGTAGCGTTGTTATTGTGCAACGAGATTAACATCCGATTTCAGAAATCTACTATTCTAGGACTGGGCTCAGTGTATTTAGTTCTCCAAATCTGGAATGTGCTGGAAGAAAAAGATAAAAGGTACCTTAAAAAGAATAAATTTCTTTGTGTAAGAAGGATATGTTTCTTGAATGTTCTTTATATTTAATATTGTTCGAATAAATCTTTCCAAGAACGAGTGGAGAATTCAGTTTTACTGTTACAAGTGGCTTGTTTTCTTATAACTTAATGTTGTTTCAATGAGTAATCCTCGAGTCCCTATATGGGAAGATGCCCAACATGGTACAATACAAACGAAATCATCACCTTGCATCTTTTCATTTCTTAACAAGTGATAGTTTGTCAAGGTATCAAAAATTTAGTAGGCGCTGGCGCAAGCTGAAGGATGGCTAAATAGGGACAACAGGTGTCCACTTGACTGACAAAGACTCTAATTGACTCATTAATAATAATGATGCTAAGACTCTATTTTCCTTTGCACTTAGAAATCGAGGAGAATGGAATCAATTCTTATATGTCGACGAAGTTAGAAATTGGGTGGATTTCAAAGGCATTATCTTCATAGTTGCATTGCCGAGGTGGCAACAGTTAGAAATTGGGTGGATTTCAAAGGCATTATCTTCATAGTTGCATTGCCGAGGTGGCAACAGCTCTCCCGATGACTTGTAAACGGCCAAAATCAGGATATTCACTACCCCCACATAGGGCTGGGCAAATCTCCCGAACCGAACCGACCGAACCGAACCCGAACCGAACCGATCCGAACCCGACGGTTCTTGTCAAATTAAATACCCGAACGGGTATCTGAATTGAGAACCGACGGGTACGGTTCGGTTCTCGGTTCTAGACCAAGAACCGAAGAACCGAATAAGAGCCGAATCTTTCTAATTTTTTTTATATTGAGTAAATCAAATTATTTTAATTTTAATTTTTTCTAAACAAATTAACAAATTAATGATTTCTAAATCCAAATTTTTGGCCTAATAAGTTGTTTCATTTCTAATTTTTTAATTTTTGACCCAATTACCCATTTTATTGTTTCATTTCTTACCCAAACAAGATCAAATCCACTAAATAACCCTAAACACCTACAATAAAGTGCATAACGTTGTCTCGACTCTCGCACTCACTCTCATATTCCAAAACCTATACAATCGTCGACCAACACTCTGACCTCCGATCGAAGCCGTGACTTTCCCCGACTGAAGCCACAATCGTTGGCTGACATTCTGACCTCCGATCGAAGCCGTGACTTTCCCCGACTGAAGCTTTGATCATAGCGATCATTTGAACAAGGTAGTTTACTAATCTCTGACATTCCAAAACTATTGAATGTATCATTAGTCATATTTATATAACGTTGTTATAAATGTTAAAAAATTTAATTATAGTACAGAACCGAACGGAACCGAACCGATCCGAACCGAACCGAATGGAACCGAACCCGAACGGTTCCATAATTATATTTGGACCCGACGGTTCCATTTACTAGATACCCGAAAAGTTTGGTTCGGTTCGGTTCTAAAGAGAACCGAACCGAACCGACCCACGCCCACCCCTACCCCCACATGAACAGCAACAACACACAACAGTGTACATCGAGAATTCCTCGAGCTCTATCACCAATTGGACAGCAGCAACACGCATCATCAAAAAAAAATTCCTCAAACGGCACTTTGAAATTGTAGAAGTTTGGGGAAAAATCATTTCTTTCGAAGAAATGATGTAGCAAATTTGAAAGATCAGAAACCATGTTTTTTCGTAATGATGATTGAAAATGAGACTTCCATTTGAATTTGGGGATGGCGAGTAGGGTAGGTGAGTTGGGGTTGGGGTTTGTGCAGCGAAAGAGACAAATATTTCTTTTCAATTTTTTTTCTTAATTTGTTTGGTTTTTTTTATAATATGAGATTAACTAATTTATTATTTTGCCCTTACTAAATTTTGTCAAAATCAATTATTTTGGTCAACTAACGGTCAAACATCCATTTTGGACTCCATTTTGTCAAAATAATTTTGTAGCGATTCGAACTTCGTGCCCAAATCATCATATCAAACATATTGTCTATTTTAAGAGGAAATATTCCCTCTTACCTTGCACGACTTTTTGTTGCATCCCACAAATTTGAATCCAAGACTTTTGCTTTATGAGAAACTTAAGTTAAATTCTAGTATAATCTTAATTGAAAACAAATTCTAATCATTTTGTGAGCTGTTTTGTTGATGCAGAGTTCGAGCGATACCACCAAGTATTCTACTTATAAGAACTTCTCACCTCAACAATTGTCTTACGCAATGAATAATTTTTCTTTTTCTTTCAGGGGATGTTATAATCATCACTCGTGCCCGGATGGTGTTCAAATATTTCCTTAGGCAATGAAAACTGCAGTCTCTAGTGAAGAACTAAAAACAAATTAGAAGAGGATTAATTAAGATATTCTAATCATCTGCTACTGACAGATTTATAGCATATTGAGGGAAAAAAAAAAAAAAAAGGTCAAAAAATGTTTTATCTTTCTTCAAAAACGCCTTATGATGTTGTCTATGCTGTGGTTGGTGGCCATTTCCTAGTTATCGACGACAAAGTTGGTGACAACTACTTTTCTTCATTCAATGTATCTATTGCTAGAGATACATGAAATTGAGGATGTGCCTAAGAAAATCCTATTTGTTGATTTATTAATGCATTATGTAAATCAACGAAGCGCCTTCAAAGAGAGAAAAAGTGGAAGAGAAAGAAAGAGAGAGCCATATAAAAGGTACCAAAAATGCCGTATTAGCACTTGTTATATAATCAATCATACTTTGGACGAAGTCCATGGTTCTCGACAATATCAATTTTTTCACATGTTACAAATGAAACAAATGCTACGTCGAAATTGGCATGAAAGTTTCGGGCCAGGAAATAGAATGAACAAATTTTCGATTTAAAATTTTGAAAAATCAAAAGAAGATTTCTTTTTATATTTTTTGTAAAAATTACTTAGGTGCTCAGTGCCTTAAAATTGTCGGATTTTTAAATTTAATCAAACGAGCAATACAAGTCAAATTATTAAATCCATATGGACCACCATAATTATTTTTATCTTGCTGTTTAATTATTTATGTCTCAACAAAAAATATTATTGACTATGCCACTATGGTCAAGTAGAAAAAGGAGTTGCAGCGAGCGCTAAGATATCAAAGGCAATTGCACGTGAGTGAAATTTCAACTACCAGTCCCAGCCCCGCTCAGAAAATGGTTTACCAATTTATTATTATTTTTTTTATTTTTTATTTTTTTTAAACATACAAAGGTAGAATATTATTATTATTATTATTATTATTATTATTATTATTATTATTATTATTATTATTATTATTATAGAAAAAGGAGTTGAAGCGAGCGCTAAGATATCAAAGGCAATTGCACGTGAGTGAAATTTCAACTACCAGTCCCAGCCCCGCTCAGAAAATGGTTTACCAATTTATTATTATTTTTTTTATTTTTTATTTTTTTTAAACATACAAAGGTAGAATATTATTATTATTATTATTATTATTATTATTATTATTATTATTATTATTATTATTATTATTAATTTTTTAAAACATACAAAAGTAGAAGAAATCTGAATAGATAAGATTATTCTCCAGCCCACCTGCCAATAGGAGGGCGCCACTTGGCTCCCCTATTTGAACAGGGCCGAGGACCATGACCCGAATAGATAACATAGCATTGGGATTTGGGTTCTAAATTTAATTAATATTAACCAGTCACTAATTAATATCAGATCCCAATTAATTTTCCAACTTTATTAACAACTCCACAGATTTCTACGAGGACAATAGTAATATCACTTGAAGTAGATGTGATCCATACTCGATAAATCCCAACATAATAAGTTCGATCATTTACCAAACAAGTTACAAATAATTTAATATTAATTAAGAGATTGACGTATGCTAATTTTAAAGTGGTCCATACTCAATATAACCCTCTAAATAAACTTGATCACTTACCAAATAAGACATAAATATTTGCCATTTGTAAAGAGATTGACAGACGAATTTTAAAGTGGTCCATATTCGATATTAGCCTTTCCAAATAAGCTCGACCAATTACCAAACAAGTCATAATTGATTGACACTATATCTTCATGCATAAGGATACTAGATTACCTAGTAGAAAAGATTGAAAAATCATCACAAAATATAAGCCCCATTTGACGGTCTTTCTTTGGTCGACTAGTAAATTACCTCTTTGCCCAAGGATTGCGAATATGCTTGAAGTCGGAAATGGCCGGTTGGGTTGGTCCAACCAAGAAAGGCATGGGAGTCTTTGGGCATTTAATTTCCTCTGCAGTATTGGGCTTTGGCGGTATTTATCATGCACTTCAAGAAACTGATACGGATTAATTTTAAAGTGGTCCATACTCATTAAACTCGACCAATACTGGCTCAATAATACATTTTACTTAAGAGTGTATTTGACTCGTTTTATTTTTTATGAAAAATGTCATTTTTCCATCTAAATTCTTACTGTTAGGATATGCTTGATCAAGTTTTTTTTCCATGAAAATATTTTCTAACTTCTGGTTATGTGACCATATTTTTATATTTTCCTTGTTTGCAAGGAAAATATTTTCTTTTAGTAGGTGTTGTTTTTATTTTTCAAGTAATTCACTTTTTATTTGTTGGATAATTCTAAGCGTATATAATTTAGTTTATCAAATATTTTACTTACTCTCATAAGCACATGAACCTTGCGTGAATAAAATAATCCCAACATGTGGTCCCCACACCCCTATTGTGAGTGTATGTAAAGTATTAAGTAAAAAAAATTATGTAGATCTAACATGATCCTTATCAATCTCTCTCTCTCTTATATATCCCCTCCCTCTCATCTATTCACTAGTAAAAAATAAATAAAAAAAATATTTTTAGGTTAAAAACTAAATCAATATAACATATTTAATTAAAAATTTCTATAAAAATAAGTTATAAGCAATTAAATTACATAAAATTTATTTTATTTCCATACAAATTTCTTGTTTGCAATAAGATGTACCCCAAGTTGAATGGAAAAATGGATAAAAAGTAAAAGTCAATTCAAATCAAACTGTCAAAGAAGATGAGACAGTTTGTTGGGGCGAAAATTTAGGCCTCAAAGTTTGTCTTTACAGCTCCATCGCGTTTAATGCAAATACCAAATACTAGAAAAAAAGCTATCAACGATACTATAAATTCCTTAACCTCTGCAAAACTTTTGCAGGATCCAGCTAGCTAATCCAGAAAGATATGCCTGCAAGAATAAGGGGGCCAACAAGAGTAAAACTGTCTCTATGATTTTATTTTTTACTTCTTTAACTGTTGTATACTTCTACAAATTTAGGGAATTTCACATTTCCAAGAAACACCCAACAATATCTTTCTCTCTTTGGGTTCTTGTTTTATCTGCATAAATTTCATCTTATTTTTCTGGGCAATTTTTGAAATCAAGATTTGCATTTGACACTTCTCAACTTTTACTATGAAGGTCCAGTTGAATGGCTTAAGATAAAAATAAAGGGCTAAACGAATGTTCAGAAAATTACAGTGTTTGATTGGTCTCATAATTATCCGGGTTTGTATAATTTGTTATTGTTTGGATCATTGGATGGATTCAATATAATAATTATATTTATTACTACTGCAAGTACAAGTACAGTAAGGAATTTATTATAATTTGGGTTGCGTTTATATTTTTCTTCTTCAATTGTTGTTTATAGGATTTGTCGATAAAGGGTCTCAGAGATGTATAAATCGAGAATTAAGGTAGTCGAGGCTTTCCAATATATATGTCCACGAGACTAGATTAATTAAGCAGTGGATTAGTGCATGTCTCTAAATCATCTGTCTAATTCTTGATTTTCTGTCTGGTTGTAGGGATCTAAAACTCAGATGCTAAACTATGTTGAAGAAAACTCTGATAATCAGTTGTTATAATTAAAAAGATGGAAATTAATGAAGCAGGGAAAATAGTAATAGCTAGACCAGTTGCATCAAGACCAGCTTTTTCCGGTTTTAGATCTTTCACGGAGCTTCTTTGCACCACTTCATCTCCTAATGCGTTGTCCAAAACTGCAGTTGCAGCGATTAAACCGAGGACAGTGCGGTTTAAGCCAGCAGGGAATCAAAATTTAGTCGAGATGGATTCTTTTGAGGTGATCATTTTTCTTTCACAAGTTTTTCAGTTGGTGGTGTATATGTGTTTTTCTTATTGTTTCAATACCTGATTATTCCAGGCTGAGTTATCCGGTTCTGAAGATTCGAGTGCATCTGATGACATCCTTAAATCAAAAATCACGGCAAATGTGATATACAAACCAATTGCGAAGCTTGTATCGAAGACAACCATTTCTGTCTTGGCTAATTTGGTTAGTATAAATACTGTCTGTTTATATTCGTAATAGTCAGTGATAATTTATTATTTGGAAATGGCTTCATTCCCTCAGCAAGAATCGTGAATCTGTCTTCCATGGATATAGAATGGCTTTGTGCTGCATTTGTACTCGAAATGTCATTAAGATTAAAATCTGGGTTTTTTTTTTTTTACTTTTGCCTTTTCCAGGGGAGGGACAACCTTGCTTGTCTACAGAAAATACCCGAAGTTGAAGCTCAATCAAATAACCAAGGGAACAGCCCATTGGACCTCACATCAGAATCTTGTCAGAATTTCACTTCACAATCTGAAGCGAAGGGAACTGCTACACAAGAAAACTCTCGAGCTGGTAAGAATTCCGTATTACTCACAACTGATGGGGATCGTCCTTCATATGATGGGTATAATTGGAGGAAATATGGTCAAAAAATTGATCGTTTTGGAGTGAATCTATATGCTACAGAGATTAAAAAGAAGTTGAAATATCATTCATTAATACCGTTTAGCTCAATCCAGTCGCAACAATTTGAGCAAGCTAACTTATTAACGTTGATACAATTTTATTGCGCCAAGGTCTAGTTTATCACAAACAAGTGAAGAAAAAATACAATCCAGTACATAACATAAAAATGTTCCGTTGCAGTAGTTTTTCAGATCAATTTCACTTGGCCTGCAAAAAAGGAAATTTGATGTGCTAAATATCTCGATTTGAATGAAAATACTGTAAAGAAGTAACTTTACCGAGTGAACGAAATTACCAGATACCAGCTTGTATAAAGTTCGACCAGTGCTTTAGGATTGCACTTAGTGTTCTTGTATGCATCAATTTTGTTAATCTCCTGTATAAGCCTTAATTATTAACAAATGTACCAAATAATCTCATGTTTTAGTAGTTTCATCGACCGTAGGATTGTCCTGAATTACCTGTATGTATGCTGCTAACTTTGGCCTACCAGATGTGATGTCATATTTCCACACTTCTTGTAAAAAGATGTGAAACCTTTCAATGAATGGAACATAAACAGTGTCCACCTGGATCAAAACAAGATTTATTTGCTTAAGCTTGGGACCCGTTTGGCATTACTTTTAAGAAGCCAAAAGTTACTTTTGGACCTATTTGGTAAATTTTATAAAAATACTTCTTCCAGTTATAATAGCTTTTAAGAAAGTCGACCCAATATGATTGTCTTTGAAAGCTCTTCTACTTTATACAACGACAAATGATAAATCAGAATATTCATTCTTGCTTACCTGACTGAAGTGACCAAGGAAGAATGGCCCATCATCGAATTTACCGAGTGCAGTTTCTAAATAGTCGAATTCACCGCCTAATTGAACAATTCTATTCAGATCTACTTTATACTCAAGGAAGTGAAATTGCAGTAGTAAAAATGTAAAACTCAATTAGCTCACCAGCTTCTTTCACTGGATCTCCTCTGAACGAAGTGAACACATTGTTTATGAATGTTCCACAATTGGCTACCAGCTCTTTTGCAAAGTTCTGTTTGGCAGGAACCTGTAGCATTTATCGTATACCATAATAATTTATAATCCCTTCTACCACTTTCGAGTGCAGAGATAAAAATCACATTGACATCTTACATCAGGTAACAGAGCCGGTCCTTCAAAGTTACTGTCGAGGTATTTAATCAAATCCAAGCTCTCTCCAATGACCTTTCCATTGTGCTCCAGTGATGGAACCTACAGAATAAACAAGGCTTGTTTGGGTGTACGTGCTTTAAGAAGAAGTTACTATCTCATAAGTAAAATAAGTCCCATGAATCTGTCTAGATAGCAAGGGGAAGAAACCATTGTTACCTTATTTTCAGGATACAACTTCTCCTTGTACCAACCGGGCTTGTTTCGAAGGTGAATGGCAATTAACTTGATCTTGTCATGTAAACCCTGAATAGAGAAATGTTTTACAAAAATATTGCAACTAGTTGGCGTTCGATCAAATCCATGCTAGAAAAACTCAGTTTGAAAATTATAATCCAAGTTCTCACCGATTGTTTACCAAGAGTTAACCATGACATATCATTGGCTTAAACTCATGAACCCCATATCGAATGATATAACAGGTTAAGTGATAATTAGACAAATCGTTTTCCAGGTTATAGGAAAACTATAGATCAAGATAAGAAAAGTGAATCTCGTGAATACTTTAAATGTTACAAGTAACACACTACCATGACAACAAATATTGGCACTAGAAATCAAAGTAAACAATACCAAAATGGCAAACCGGAAAAAGAATTATATAATAAACTCGACCAAATAGAGTGATCAGTCACAGACCTTATAATTCCTGACAATCCACACGCGTTGGCAAAATGGACACTCATAGTTGAGATACAACCTTCAAATACAAAATTCGGTATCATATTCTTGGACCATGTACCAAAAATTGAACCACGTCGCAAAAATGAGAAAAAAAAACTTTATACTATAACATATTCAAACCTGCATTTTCACTACCTGTTTAAAAGCTTAAACTATTAAAGAAGGCCACATTTGTTCTTCTAAGCTTTCCTAAATAGATGGTAACTTTTATATCACGTTGTACTAGCTCATCTAAAAGTTAACAACTTTGAGTTCTTAGCCAGGACAGGCATATTGATTGGAAAGAAAGAAAAACAGAGGGAGGGGGTACCTAGTGGTTCCATCAAAGAGTGGTGGTGATTCAGAAGTCGAATCCAAGACTGGTGGAAGAACCTCTTCAACGTTGCTGTGTATTTACACCATCAAATTCAATAAATATATAATTAAGTAATACTACTGGGCATATACAGTGATGGATTGTTAACTCACTAGGCAGCCATTGATGTTCTTGATCAAGCTCAAGTTTGCAGGTAGTTGACTCAACAGATTGAGTACTTATGATTTGTAAATCGTTTATTATTGCTTGCTATTGGGATCCAAGATACCTTTTGTTTAATATATTATATACAAAGTGGTGAAATGTTACATTTGTCAGAGTTTATATAGTAATGTCCGTTATTTAGCACCACAGGTGATAAATATTAGTTTAAGTGACATTCAAGTATCATTAGTTGATAGATAATTTTAAAAGGGACATGAATCCCATTTAAGAGTATAGGCTGATGTTACGTAGAATTATTCAAGTTTATTTTATTGTAATCAAGGATAGTGATTAGAGATTTGGTGCTTTTGGTGTTTCAAGAGTTCTGTTTTCACTCGCTGCCCCTTGCCTACCTCCGCCTCATCATGCTGCTGGAGCAGACTCGGCAATCTCATGAGAGAAGTGAAGAATTCTCTTTTCGACCATGACTCCCTACTCTAGTCGTTGCTTTTCTTTTAGCTACTTCAAAAGTTAAACAAAAAGATTCATAATCTTTGTTCAATCTGTTTGAAATCACAGATTCTTATCAGTTTTCGATTCATTTTCATTGGATAGGAGATTTCCATTTCGAGTAATACCATCCATCTAGACTGATGATTCTCATTCATGTAGATGACATTTAAGTGACATTAATTGATACACCATCTTAATCGTCCCTTGCATTTTAAATTAACATATAGATATCATTATTCAAGTGTGCAAGTTCTTTACTTAGAACTTGCTTGTTAGCTATTCCTGCAAAGCTCCAAGAATTAATTAATTCAACTCCTGGCTTAATAATGTTGCAATAAATTAAGGTAGTAGACTTTCCATCTTTATTTTATTTGTAAACTGTACATTACAGCTATTATTATATGTATTAAAAAACGTCAATTTGAATCAAGTGGTAAATAAAGGATATACTCTGATTTGTCAAAGAATAAAAATACACGTAAACTAGTATGTATAGTCAAGAGCGATGGGCCAATCAGGGACAAGTCAAAACATGGTGTTTTACGCATCAATTATCGTTTTTGCAACGTTAGTCTTAGCGCCTCAGTAGAAATATATAAATTCACGATAGATATGAGCTGAAAGGCAAAATTGAACAAGAAAAATCTACAAAAGATGGAGACAGTTTGGTTCTTTATCTATCCTTTACTTCTTTTTTCAGTCAGATTTCTTTATTAAACTCAGCAACACCCCAGCACTAAGAGATGTAGCCAAAAATCCAAGGGAAACCTCAGTAGACACATGGAATCCTGGAGGCCAGTTAAATTAAAAGCATAAATTTTGCATGAAGATCAAAATCAAATAAACATGTGAAAGAACCAGCTGCATTGAGTAACACTTACCAAAGAAATCAAGAATCATCTTGAAACCGATAAATCCCAGAATACCACCGATTGTGGGCTGATAAAAGTCAAAGAAATCACACATAGAAATTGACAAGCAGGAAAATCAGGCTACTCTCAATTAACATAAGAACTCAGTGAGAATAATTATCGAAATACTCCAGGAAATGCACGAAACTGTTGTTCCTCTTGCCGTTAGCACCAACCTTACCGGTGAAAGCCCTCTCAAAGAGAGCCATCCTTTGGTGCATACAAATTGGCTGGAAAGGTGGGAATGAAGTGGGCAGTAGGAGTTGTTCTAATATATCATAGCAATTCTAATTTGGGTTATCCGGGTGAATGAAATGTTACAGTATTTTACTCCATAATCCGAGCAGGGTGCTTGAACTGGTTCTCTATGCACCAGGATCATATGGATTGTAGCGCTAAGACTGAGATATTTTAAAATTGGATAACCCATAATAGAATTGCTAAGAAAAAGTAAAACAAATCATACCACCTGCTTTATTTCAACTTCCCGTTTTCAGCTCATGTGGATGCACCAGAGGATGGGCACTTGGAGAGGTTCACTAACATTTAAACTTTCGTAGTTTGACTAGTTCGGGGAGAATTAAGAACTTCGAATCAAGTTAGATTATAATAAGAGTTGTAATTTTAATAGCCCGTACTAAATTATGGCATTTTAGCTTAAGATAATATTTGCATGAGATTATTTTTAGATAAACTGATGTTAAAGTGATGATATTCTTAGTTAGCTTGCTACTTTAGTTGGCTTGTGACCCATTGCGGATATAAGTTTGTCAAGGGCTCGCGGTAGGCATGTTATGGCAAGCATATTAAGGTCAATTAATACAAGCAAATCTCACCTGCAAATACTCCAAATCAGCCATACTCTCAGAAATGAGTGTATAATATTACCTTAAACCCAAAAAAGCAAGATTGTTAATCTTCTATACCCAAAAAATAGATGCATCTTTCTATGGAGCAATTAGATTGTGCACTTGTTATTTAAATAAAATTCCATTGATCCAGATAGCAGTCAGGTGGAAGTAGAAAGAATATTCGTCACACAAATCTGAAATGTAAAATAAAAAGGTTCATGGTCCAGGGAAACTCATTATCATTGTTCCAGAACACAACTCAAGAATATGTTTCGTCAGTAGTAGTTTTTATTTTGTCATAAATTAATTTTGGAGCAGAAAGTAACAGATAACATCAAATCCACATTGATATCTACTCTTATGGACTGAAATGTAACCGGCTCTAAGCAAAAACTGTAGAGGACAAAAAAGAACAATAGAAGGATAAGAATGTACCTAAAATTGCGAAGTGATTAGATGTGAAAACTACAAAAGGATCTCACATCACACAAAAAACTGCAGGTATAGAATCCACCTGAAAAAGAAATTAAATAGCCAGTGAATGTAAAATGTCAATGCCTGAGTTCTTTAGAAACCTACAGCAAATGCAATATCACTGAGTTCAATAACTGCAACTGTGAGAAGCAAAGATGTAGCCTGCCCAAAATGTTTGATTCCTGTTAGAAACCAAGTTAATATCAATCCAAGACAGAGATCTTCATTAAAAATGGACAAAAAAGAACAATAGAAGGATAAGAATGTACCAAAAATTGCGAAGTGATTAGATGTGAAAACTACAAAAGGATCTCACATCACACAAAAAACTGCAGGTATAGAATCCACCTGAAAAAGAAATTAAATAGCCAGTGAATGTAAAATGTCAATGCCTGAGTTCTTTAGAAACCTACAGCAAATGCAATATCACTGAGTTCAATAACTGCAACTGTGAGAAGCAAAGATGTAGCCTGCCCAAAATGTTTGATTCCTGTTAGAAACCAAGTTAATATCAATCCAAGACAGAGATCTTCATTAAAATATGTGGTGCTACATATGAATTTAGATCTGATACAGGTACATTCATATTAGAGATGTAAAATAGATTGGTTCAGCCGATGAACCACCGACCAGGCCAACCTAGCTTTTTACATGACTAGACCAAAGTGTTAAAAAAGTCATCAATCTGGGTTGGTTTACATGGCCATATACATGTTTAATTCAGGTCCTTCCCAAGAGTTAGACATCAGTGAGAACATGTTGAGCATAAGCCAAAGCAGTTTTTGACAGATAAAATCTTGGGGTGCTCTAACACTTAGTTATACTGCAATCCTAGAGACAGTATTGCTCAACAACTCATGGCAATATTAACTGTCCTTCCATATAAAACTTACCTTCCATGCATAATTCTGAACAGTTATAAATCGATTGCCATCATAGTTAGCTGCAAAATTAAGAATATAAAAGTTGAGATGTCTAAAATTTAAACAGGGAAATCAAAAAATACACCCCCCATCCCCCATCCCCCACCAAAAAAAATAAAAAATAAAAAAAATGAGGAAAAAAAGAAAAAATAAAGGAAAAAAAAATAAGAGTTGTTGGGTCAATAGCCCGTGCAAGTTAAATTATTAAAATTCAATTACTAGACGTGGGGTTTTAACTTCCAATCACATGAAGAAAACTCCAAGAGAAAAAAAGAAAAAATTGATTGAAAAATAACGAGATGGTGGGATGCTGAAAAGGAAACTATGAACTGAAGTCCAACCAATTTTTCTTAGAAGGTTTCTATTGACAAGTTTGTTGAGAGAGCATTGTATTGATGCAAGTCCAAGATTGTAATGGTTTCATATATTTTTGCCTTTCTTTCACTTTTCAAGAGCTACATAATGTAATATACTATGGATATCATAGTGCAACCACAAACAGAAACTTCCAAAAGTAATTATAGGAGTCATATCACATCCAGAATAACCTCTTCAAAACTGACATGTACTGCCAGTATCAATTGAACTCAAAAACTTCCAAACCAGCAAACAAGTATGGAAAAGAGTACCACTCTAGGTTGCGGCGTGTTAAGTGTGTTATTAAGTGTGTGGGTGAGAGGGAGGGAGGGAGAGAAAGAGAGAGAGTTACAAGTGACAGGGATGAATTTCTGACATGTCTTTATTATGAACTTATCAGACAGATCAGCATCTTCATCTTCTTCAGCAAATAACTAAAAAATAATAACAATAATAATAATAAAAATAAAAATAAAAATTATAACCATTATGCACAAAACATCAACTTAACTATTCTCAATTTTCTTCAGAGAATAACTAAGATAAAGAATACAACCATATTATAACATCCCCGAAACATTAACAAAGCACACTCAAAAAGAAAAGGAAACAAGAGTTAGGCAACCATAGAAAGAACAAAATAAGATATTTTGATGCAATGACAGAACGAATCAAGGTAAAAGATTCATGACCCTAACTTGTAATTCCTACAGATTTTTCCATTTACATATGAAGTAGTTTGGGGATGATCAAACATCCGGAAGAAATCTGAATTTAAAAGGCATAAATATCAACTAAACTATTTAACTTTTTGGTTTTGGCACAAAGCAATGAGTATATATGACAAATGGTAGAAAAGTTACCATCACAGCAGTACAGAAAGATCGAACCATTTTCCTTAATAAGATTGATGATTAGGAAGCTACTAATTAAAGAACCACACAACTCAAAAATCCATTTACTCTAGCATTATATTTATTTTTCAGAAGGTTTTTTTTAAGTGCATGCATTGCAGTCAAATCCCTCCAAAATCGCAATTTGTACAAACAGAATACAATCATGCAACTTTTACATTAGATGAGACCAGCTTAAAAACTAGACCAACAAGTTGGAAGTAAATATTTTCTTTGCTCGTCTGAATTTAAATAATGCTTGATCATCCACAAATTTAGCAAACTGAATCACCAATGAACTCTCAGAATGTAGCCGAGTATTGAAGAGCAAAAGATGCCAACAAAAGAAACAGAACCAGTAACAGCTTCAATTTATTACATGTGCTCTGAAGAGGAATAGCACCCTGAATAATGAGTAGAGTAGTATCACTGCCAGGAGTAGGTTAACTGCCTCAAACCTCTAAACATATCATGAGAAAACAATTGCTTGAACATGTGCAATTGAAGGAAGCAAAGGTGAAATGTTTGAATGTGTGCAAGGATATGATAATCAATTCATTTTTATATCTATCTATACGAGCATGCATATACACGCATGGCATAGTACAGAAGTTACCTGAAGAGTCACGGCGCCAAGAAGTATCAACGTCAATAAGATTATTGCACCAGCAATTCCATAAGAGAGCACCCAATTCTGTTCTCTCGTCATGACATGGATTTCCACCAAGGAATGAGATAAATGATAGTTAAAACATCAGCATATATTTCTTAAAATAAAATGAGATTTACAGCACAAAATGCAGAAATTATACGCTGTATTAAGCTTGATGCTACACCTGATATGTAGGTGGCACTTTGAAATACTTGAATATTAGAACAAAGACAAAAAGATTGACCACTGATAAACTCTACTCCAGTAGGCACCTGAAAATAAAATAAAAAATAAAATTAACATAATCACACACATCAGACCAGAACTGAAGATGGAATATCAGATTTCATTTGAGTACATTAATCAACTTGGAAACCCAAAGTAATAGGAACAACCAAACATGAAACATAAATATAAACTCATCAACAACTAATTCTACATTTATTCGGCTCTCACCTTAGCAAGGTGATAAAAAAATCCCATCTTCAAACTCAAGAAAGATTACATTTTCAAATGTCACAGAAATACATTTACCCCTTGTTTGGGCTCCCATTTTAATGAGATTATAGGAAAAATGTATTTTGGAATAGTAATTTTTTTGGAGAATGTATGGTTAAAGCATAAATATAAACTCATCAACAACTAATTCTACATTTATTCGGCTCTCACCTTAGCAAGGTGATAAAAAAATCCCATCTTCAAACTCAAGAAAGATTACATTTTCAAATGTCACAGAAATACATTTAGCCCTTGTTTGGGCTCCCATTTTAATGAGATTATAGGAAAAATGTATTTTGGAATAGTAATTTTTTTGGAGAATGTATGGTTAAAAAGTTTGGGGATTACGTGTAATATTATTTTATTGAAGAATATGTGGTTGAAAATGAAGAAAGAGATAAATGTATTAAATTATAATGGAGCCCAAATAGGGGCTTAGACAAAGAACTAGTGATCCCAAGGGATAAACGATAAATTTCGGCAAAACAAAAATCAGAGCTGCAAGTAAGATTTTGGATTTTCCCATAAGTGTTTCAAGGACACTAGAATCTTCTTTTACTAAGAAAAGGACATTAAAATTTTTATTAATGCAAATAAACCAAATGATTCCCTCTACTAATATCTTCTTATGTAGAAGCAAACCAGCACATGATGTATTTATCACACTGACCTCACTAGAGCTTAACTGTTCAAACTTCTATCTGCTTTTAAGGAATAGTAATGGGTCAGAACTACTGCTTAAATAACTTGTATGAAGCCACAGAAACACAACTTCATATAAAAATATAGTATGCTGGTGGGCGGTTCATGTTCATACCCAGCAAAAAACTTGTATGCCTTGCCAACTCCATCTTTGAATCCCAATCCAACCCAAATGCAACAGCTGAGAACACCTACAGCGTTGATTAACTATATTGACTTCAATTTAGGGCATTCACCAATAGAAAGTGAAAATCAAGATATAATTATAAATATGAGATCAAAGTACTTACGAATAAGGCTACAGTTCTCAGTGATGAGACATATCTACACTTTTCGGAGTTTTCTCTTCTGAATTACTGATGGAAGAGATGTTGTCTGAGCAATCATGTCATCGACACCATCATGTGATGGAGAAATCGATGTCTTTCTCTCTGCAAAATTAGTCCACCTATCACGACACTCTTTACATACAAGATGGCAGCATTTGCCCTCATTTCTCATAAAGTACATAATTCTTGATCTTCAAAAGCCACATTTCCGATAATTTTCAAAAACAATTATCTTTGTCACCAATAAGTTTGACAAAGAAAACATTGAGCAAAACATGCGCTAGTGTTTGGCCATGACAGAAAGATGATAAGTGAATCTCCAAACTAATATGTAAGGGACGCATTTTAAATTTTACAAGTTATTACCTTTTAATTATTTTGATGTTCAACTACACTAGCAAAAATAAAATTTGAGGTTTGATTATATAGATGCTAAAAAGTGAAGTAATCAATGGTTATGTCTTCCTTTTTGAATTCCACGGTATCAATATTGACAGAATAAATGAGCAGAGAACCCAATGCAAGAAAATTATAAGCAATCATGAAGAAAGTTACTACCACAGACCGAATATGTAGAAGGCAATGGAAAATTAACCATTCAATTTATAAATCAGTAAAGCAGTAAATGCAGTGGAAATCAAACATTCAATTTATGAATCTATACAGTGCTCCAATCACACAAAGTTTATAGAATTACCCTGAAATTTAAAATCTACATACATGTCCATACCGGGATCACTATGAGCAAGCCAAAGGGGTTAACTTACCAATATAGTCTGTTACGCCTCTTCCAATGAGGCTCTAAGCTTTATATGGTACTTGTTACGCCTCTTCCAATGAGGCTCTAAGCATTGCCATATGGCAGCTGCATCGCAAGAGAACTCAGGCCCACACTCCACATCATTCTACGCACGTAGCAATTTGGTCGAGCCCCCATGGCCGAGCCACCATGGCCGAACCCCCGTGGTCGAGCCACCATGAATGAGGCGAAGAAGATAGAAACATCTTAGGGAAGACCTTCATACAAGATCTCGTAACAAGTGGGTGATGTGACAACTCACTACATGGACGGCTCAACTCAATCAGCAAGTCAAGTCTAATCTTACATGTCAGGCCTAAGACTGCTAATGGTCATAACATTAAATGCACTTGAGCCTAAGTCTGACTGATTGATGTCTATGACAAGAGGCCCTAGCCGCCAAGATGAGGTCACGTGTCTCTTCATTTAACGGCTCTTACTCACCCTCTTCTACTATAAAAATTCACACTTGGCGTCAGTTAAAAGGTAATGCAAATTTAGACTTTTATAATGTAACTTTGTTCTTTGCATTCTCTACTCCCTGAAACCGACCCCCTTTATTTTATATTGGGACTCACGTTAAGGGCCCTCCCCCACTGAATACACCTCTTCGCCGACTGACTTGACCGTCGAAGTACGCGCAGCCGACTCCACCCCCACCAGAGAGGGCCATGTGTGTCTAACGATTTGTCTTAGTGTGCAAGTATACGACTTGTTTGGAAGTGAGAGGTTTCGGATCTGTTGGCATCTGGAGATATATTTTCGAGGTCAACACAGTCCTCCAATAAAACTCGCTTTCCAAAATTAAATGAATGAACGTCCAATTCTCTAATTCTATATTATTACCTGAAGCAGACGATTCTTGCTCCTGCTAAGTTTTTCTTGGCAGGCTATTATTTGAATCACTATACTTCCGATCACGACTGCAAACACCTATAAATATCACTTCCACAAAATGTAAAAACAGAGAGCCTTAAAATATTTTTTTAAAAAAATACTATCGTACCTGGATAAAGGGGGTAAGAGCGACGAAGAGAGAATTGAACTCGAGCATTTTTGTGGCACGAAATTGTAGAGGTTTTGTGCAAATTAAAGTGGTAAGTGAATGGAATTCGAACTGTATTATTACGGAGTGTGGAAGCCAATTTCATGGCTTAGATTTGTTGGACCGTAAACTGGGGTATTTGGCTTGGACTGGTTAGGAGGAGACGACGGGTCTAAATACGTTCGGGAGGAAATAGTGGAAGATGGCCGGTTCGGCTACAAATCTCAGTTATCCACCTCATTTGATCGTCAATGCAGTCAAACTTTTTTTTTTTTTTTCCCGATAATTATTTACATTACAGAATAATTTTAATAAAGGTCCTCAATTTTAGCTTATTTTTACACTTATGTCTTCAACTCTTTCATTATATCTCTCTCATTAACTTTCAATTAATTAGCGATTTTTGTTCAAACATACTGCTAAGCAGCAAATGTTTTGTAAAATTTTGGTATTTGTTGTTTATATTGTTAATTAACAATACGAGAGATAGATTACTATTTTCTCTCCTAACTAATTTTTCAAACGAAAATAATCATAAAAAAAGACATGCAAATTAATATGAGGTCGAGGATAAAAATGCGATGAAAGAAAGTTAGGGGTAAAAGTGTAAATGAGCAAAGATTAAAACATTCATTACAAATAAAATATTATGTAGATAACAAAAATGGAGATCTGAAATCTTTGTTATATTTTTCCGAATAATCATATCTAGCACCAGTGGTGTAGTTGCCACCTAAACAAGTATTTGACACTAACATTATTCTAATTTCCCCACCGATGATCTTGAAAGCCAATGAAGTCTTCTAATTACTACAATTATCATTCTTGAACATAATGGAAGTAATCAAAAGCATATAACAGAACAAGAAAATTCTTGCAATTACTTTTCCCATATTTATAAATTTGGAAGAAACTGATCATAGTAAGAAATAAAGGATTGCATAAAACTATGAATTAGCAGATGTAGGAACACCTCCTCCGGATCTAATCGAAAAACTCGAACTGCGAGAAGGTGTTCTATTCATAGAACACGGATCAAGAAAGATGACCACGACTGTGATATCATCGTGGAAATGTCTCCTTACACCTCTATCGATCTTCTTCAAGTCTGAGTATCTCATTTCTCTTTTCTTCGCTGCCACACAAAGAGCAGCTTTAACAAGTCTCCGAGCAATCCCCTGCAAAATAAGCAAAAAGTTCGAGTTAATAATCTGAACCTAAAATTATGTCCACTTTTTAGAAATGTTTGACTAATAAGCAACTTTTAAGCTCACCCTATTATAGTATTATGAATTTGTGATGGGCCAATGGGAGTCATTTAGCTTTGTTATACACTAGCTCCCTCTTTATATCTAGTTTGACGAGTATTTTCTTTCATTTTTCCTATTTTTTCCATTGAGAGGTTGAAATTGCAGTCACTAGTGGAACCAATTTGAAAATCTGATCTATTACATTGTTAGGGAAAGCTTACTTGACGGGGATAGCTGTGGACAATATCGACAGCTTCCTGGTTGCTAAGATGCTCCCATAAACCATCAGAAGCAAATATGAGAAACTGATCCTTGGGATTGAGCTTGTGTATAAATATCGATGGCTCTGCACTTAGGATTGGTTTATAGAAGGGTTTGGATAGCCTAAATCTTGCCAATAGTGGTTCTTTATTGAACTCCGACTTCTTAAGATAGGCATCGCCAATAGATCTTGAGACCTGTTAAGACAAGATAATAAATCACATCGATAGACAATGTAACATAATGTTCACCTGCCATATAAATCATCTTTGGAGATTGCTGGATCAAAATAATTTATAATATCCAATTTGAAGCAAAATATTTGCTTAAAGAAGTAACCCATAAGAGAGATTCAAGAGATTACCTGTATAATACCCTTCACGCGCCAAACTTTGTGCTTTGGAACCACGATCTGTGGATCATCGGGATGCAATAATCTTAGTTCGGCCCGAACAGACTCAAGATTAGCATTGTGCTCTGTTGATAATTGAATAGCCGTAACTCCTTTAACAGCTTTATCTACCCTGCCTAACACAACACGGGAATCTCCAGCATTGGCAATATAAAGAAGTCCATTGCATATTACCCCGACCAAACAACATGTTCCCACTGACGCAATTTGAGGTTTATCGAGCCATTGCTGTCTCACTAGAGAAAGAAATTCCTCCTCAGTTGCCAAGAAAGCCTTTTTAACAACATCAGCAGATATCTCTTGATGCTCAGAGGCAATTTCTGTTTCAGATAAACCAATTAGTTCACAAAAAACTAAAGGATCTATAATGCTAGAAGTCTACAACCATTCATTCAATTTTTTTCTGTAACATTAACTTTTTTCCCCTCAATAAAGCTTCATTACATAAGGATATCCATGCAGAATCAAGTATAATTTGCACCTAGCATTAGATAAAGACCAAAAACGATGCAGCTGTTGTTATAAGTTATTTTTTGGTAATAATATGGAAAGCTCGTATAGATAGTTAATAGATGGTAAAGCGACACAATTTAACATAGCTAGCAAAACAAGGTGGCTATCGTTATCAGTTACTTTCTGTTTGTTGCTACATTTAATTGGTAGATAGAATGAGCACAGAACTTAAGATATGTTCTAAGTTAGCACGTGTTCCTTAAGTGATTTTCTATTGTATGAAAAACAAGCCATACATTATGTAATTCTGCAAAAGCTCTTGCTCACTTACTTAAGTGTAGGGCATTGATTTCTGGTCGTCGACTAGCTAATTATAGAATACAATTAGTGATTCAACTCGATCAAGTTAGTGAAGTGCGCGGAACATTTACAGCTTAAAACTAGAGACTTCGAGGAAAAATATATCGACGAATTAGGCACCCGAGGGAGAAGAAAACATACTCTTGAGATTGGGGAATAGTTTTTCGTTTACAAATCTTGATGTCTCTGGTCCACCATGTCCATCATAGACTCCGACGAAAGTACCATATGGCCCTGAACTAAGCGAACTCAATGGCCCTGATTCAAGCTGGCTCTGATCCTCCAACAAATTATTGGCTTGGATCACTGCCATTGAAAACTCTCCATTGACATGAGGTCCCAAATCCTTATACCAAAACAATCCATCAACCCTTCCATTCGGATCACCCCATCGACGGCTGCCGTCTCTTCCCCACCTACGTCCATCACCCTCCACCAAAGGTTTCCAACAAGGCTTAACCATTTTTACACCACCACTTACAATCTACATATCCAAATGATCTAAAATCAATCTATAATAAAATAAACCCAACACAAATCCACACTAGTACCATCATCATCATCCAAAACAACCAGCAAACAATATATTCATGAAGCCCAACACTAACGTTTGCTCAATTCTTATAACTATGCACAAAGAGCCAAAAGGGTATGGGCAATTGCTCCCGGAAACTGTGTCCCCAAGACAAGAAAGCAATAGTTATTTAGGTGAGTTCAGAGAATATGGAGGGGTGTCGGATTTGCATACCTTGAACCTGGGTCAAATTTATTTGGACCTTCCATGGGCGTGTCACCTTTCGACAGCAGCCTTAGCTGTAAAAACCCATATAAGATTGATTGTGACAGAGTTTGTTCCTGGATCAGGGGATCACAGAGGGGCAAATGGATAACAAAAAGAAAACTGGGTCTTGGAATTTTCTTGAAAGAAATAAAATCTTTTTAGATTGGTGTCAGAATGAGATCTCAGATTATTATTATCATTATGAATTTATGATCATGGAGAGTTGAAAGGAAGGAAATAAAAATTGGGAAAGATGTTTTTTCTTCTTCCTTTTTTTTTTTTTTTTTCAATTGAAATTACCGGTTTCTTCTTTGACAATTTCTTTGTTTTTAATTCACAATCTCCTCATTTCTCTCTCCTTTAATGTCTGTTTTTTTTCTTCTCTTTTGTTTCATTTGTTTACTCTTGTGGCCAACGGTTTTACTTGCATGGCCAAGATTTGTGTTTGTTGACATTAGCAAACCACCATTTTAGGCAATTTTTGCTCATCTCATTTTTCTTAAGGCTATCTACGGGGTGTATTCAATTGAGATTTTAAAAAACTTTTGGAGACTTTTTTAAGTGGGTAACTTTTGTGGACTTTGTGAAATTTTAAGTAATTTCTATGAATTTGGTAGGAATTAGTAAAAGTTTTTCCTGGATTTGAGGAGACTTTTACTAAAGACTTTTGAGGATTTTTTTTTTTTAGGGAAATATGCTTTTCACAGTGTTAAATGTGAGATATTGGGGAATATTTATGAGAATTCACAACATTCACTTAAAAACGAATCTTTGAAATTAGAGAGAGAGATAGAGATCAACTAGTGAAAATTTACCATAACCTGATTTGAAGAAAACTCATAGCAAAGATTCAAAGAAATACTTAATTGGAAGAGATAGAGGAAAAACCTAGAGGGAAATAAGAATAGCATACTCTTTTTAGAAATCTCTCTATGGATGAGAGATTTTGGGAGAAAAATCCTATTTATATTTTCTATTAAAAAGTCTCTGAAAGTCCAAGAATTTTTAAATTCCCTGAAAGTCCCTCTAAATTGAATACCTCAAAACTTGTAGAGACTTCTAAAAAGTTTCAATTGAATACCCCGTTACTTCTGGAGACTTTTTAAAAGTCTATAAAAGTCTCTATTGAATACACCCAAACTTTTAAAGAGTGTCTAAAAGTTTCAATTGAATACACTCAAACTTTTTAAATCTCTAAAAGTCTTTAAAAGTCTCGATTAAATACACCCCCTGTATATGTTCGACCAGTTTATTTAAGTCAGAAAAAAAAAAGAAGAAGCTGAAATAGCCTATATTAATTACACGGTTTAAGGATTAAGGTTGATTATATTCAATTTCATTAAAATTTGTTTAACACAAAGATAAATTGAAAAAATAAAAATAAAATCATAGAGGTCAAACGTATCTTAAGAAGATGCTTTGCCGTACTCAAAAAGCATGTAGACACATGTAAAGATATGCTGTCGAGAAAAATAGCTTTTAAACACAATATAAATTGTTTAAAATTAGATGGACCGAGACACACAAGTCTGAGAACATTCGATCCAATAATCATTAAAACCCTAGTTAAAATATTGGAATTATTATTATTATTATTATTATTATTATTATTATTATTATTCAATTGCCTCAATTGTAGTCTTGCAGATCAAATGTTAGAATCTAAGACGAATCTCGTTGTCCACCTTGAAATATTCCTCATTTGACATATCGAAAGGCTTCGTCATTTTACGTTTATGGAGAAAGAGAAATCTATGATATGACTTATAATTGATTATTTTAAGTGTTCTAAGAATCAAGAAGTAGAATATGCAGTTAAGCTAAAAAAAATTATTAAGCATAATGTAGATGGAGATTATCATGTTCGTTGTTTTAGAATATGAGGTCTAAATTTTGATAAGTTGCTTACAACTAAAAATAATTGGTTTGTAGTTAGAAAGTAATTATTTGAAAATCATTTTTTCACACTCATTTTCGACACGTTTTCCCATAAATTTTCCTCTACTTCTTAACAACACATTCTCCATAAATGACTTTAACACAAGCGCTATTATTTCAGATAGATAAAGGTGATTGTTAAACCATGTGTATGTTGGTGATAATAAGAGTTTTGAAATTTTATTTTAAATACCAATCTTGTTAAGAAGAGTAGTTCAACGAGAAGGAATTATAACCTTGGTATGCCTTGCCAGATGAATACTGATTTGAGAACACCAATAGTGAACTTGATTGTTTTTTATTTTGAAATTAAGACAATAGAATCATTCATTTGAGAGTTTTAAGATGCCGTATCACATTGAATTTCAAAGTCCCATATTAGAAGATCAACGTAATTAAGAGGAATAGTCTAATTCGTTATATTTGATTATTATTTTCATATTTAAATGACATAAGATTTTAATCCTTTTGAGAGTCGACGTCTCTTAAAAAATGTTAATTAACTTGTGTAGAACAAACTTAAGAAATCTTCAAAGTTCAAAGCGATTCTTTATCATATTTTTGAATTTTAATCAAAACATTCTTATAATTTTCTCAGAAGATGTTTTGGTCTAAATTAAACAAAATCTCAGTTTTATGATTAAAAAAAAATAGGTGAAATTGATGATCAGTTGAGTCTGTATCAAGAATGTGCAGAGACCCTTGACATAGAGGAAGTGATTGAAAGTGAATTTATTATTATTATTATTTTAAATAATGTATTCACTGGATCAAGTACACCAATTGAACTCACCACTGCAACTGCAATTTTATGGGGTAGATTGAATTGATGATGGTCCCCCAAGAACTTGAAAATTTCCAGGAATTTTCACATTAGAGTGTGACACTGAAATTCAATTATTCATACTCTTTTTAGTAAAGTTGGTGGATGAACGAGAGTACTATCTTTTAGTTAGGTCAACAATTTTTGATGTCGGGTAAGTAGAATTCAAATTCACGTGAAGTTTTGACGATATATCACGAAAATAGAAATTCAAAAAATTCACATGTCATCTTTTGACCGAAAATAGAAATTCAAGAAAAATTATTTCAAGGTTTGTTTGACGTAACTTATTTCAAAATCTCTCTCTCTCTCTCTCTTTTTTTTTTTTTTTTTTTTGTCAAATTCATTTTTAACTGAACACTCTCCCAATAAAAATATAATTTCACGCATAGATTCATAAATTTTTCGTACTTCTTAATTACACATTAATAATTTTTCCTTTCAAATTATCTCTCCTAAACAATCACTTGGTAGCTTTTGGTCTACCAAACATTACAAATCAGTTGGCTCCCAGTTTGATGGCACCTAACTTTTTTAACTTTTTGGTATCCCATTTTTCTTAAAGGTTGAACCACAACTTTGAGGGCCCCCACCGCCCCGTCCCTAGAGCTTTGTGAAGAAAGTAAATTACGGGATGTGCCCCAAGAAGTCAGGGAATAAGAGCTGCATGTACACTGCGCCTACAAGGAGTTTAATTCCATGTCTCAGGAATCGAACCCCCACACTGCAACTACCAGTGAGATTTGAGATAATCTCACTCCTATCCTTTGCATCACTGGGACTATCCCATTTTTCTTCGTTTGTCGTTGAGTTGCCTTTGTCATGTTGACCAGGACTAATGCCATGGAGTTTGCTGAACAATTCTCTTGATCTTCATCATTTTGGTTAACCTCCTCTTCACTAGAAGATTTCGAAACACAAAATTCCAATTAGAATTCTTGAACAAAAATATAGAGAAGTTAAGAACTTCTAAGAACACGACAGAAACTGGAAAATTTTCAAAAACACATGATTAAGGAGACAATGTAAGACACAGCACGTTTAACAATGAGTTCTATGAAATTACATTAACTACTGACATCCCTTATGTCTTTGAATCATTATAATCTTGATAGTTCGCCTGATTGATCAGATATGGTACTTTTTACAGAATTTTGCTGGAAATTCTTCCTGACAGCAGGGGAATTTAGATTTTCAGGTGAGTTGGTTTCACTAGAAGAACTCAAAATCTCTTCGAATAAATGAAATTCATGGCTTTGGTTGGATATACTAATTTGTGGACCGTTGCATTTCAGAATTTTTGAGCTTATGGGGGACTTGATATTCTTTATTGACTCTATAATGTAAAATTTTTTAGAGGTTCTGATTTGGAAATTTCAACCATTTCTATTTTGAATTTCTTTACTGCTCGAAGAAGATGCTGCATGTGCAGATGAGAAAGAGGAATCCTCGCTCATATCGTTTAAAATTGATGTCTCTTCTTCTTGTAAAACATTCGAGATGATGTTGGATTGAAGCTTTTTTCTCAAGAAATTTTTGCTTCTTCTCAGCTCTCTTTCTTGATTTTCTCTCTACTGCTAATGGATTTTCCACCTTCGTCTTTTTCTTTGCCCTCACTCATCGGTTTAATTGCAAAGATGTAATTTGAGTGGAAAGAAAACAAATTTTAAGGAATTGAATTGCCTAAAAATCGTTTTACTGGGAATTGTCAATTATTATGTTTGATTAATATAATTTCCACGTGAAAAATGTTGAAATAAAAGTGTATTTTGGTCTTTGTTTGATTTCATTTTACATGAAAATTGTCAATTAAAAGGATATAATTTATTGGTATTGGGGATAGAATTTGTTTACATTGCCACAAAAAAAGCAAGAAAATCATTTATCTTTTAGTGTTTGTTTGGTTTTATTTTACATGAA